AGCTTATAAAATATTTTTAAATATTAAATATAAAAAAAATATACCAACAAGATCATATAAAAAATGGTCTATGTACCCCCTACCCTTAATAACAATATAGTATAATATATTAATTTAATATTTAAAGGTTAAAAAGTGTTTGCAGCCAAATTGTAACTTGTGTAAACCGGTTCGAATGCCAATTGAAAAGTTAAATTCATTAATTTTTTTTACCTAATCCTATGCTAGCAATAGAAGGTTTGTTTAATTTTATAAAAATAATAAGAGTTAAATTAACTTAATATTTAAAATTCTATAGATTTAAATCGCTATATGCCTTTTAATTCTGTATATAGAATTGAAACGAATAAAAGTCATTGTCCTTCTTTATTATTAAATCAAGAAGAACAAAAACGTAGTTCTAATAGTCTATATACATACAAAAAAATTAGTGGATGGGTAGAATGTACAGCTTGTAGTAAATGGCACTGTCTTTATAGTTAAAATTCACTTAATGAAGAAGAAGAATTACAATGGCAAACTGCTCTTCAAAATAATTTATATACTTGTGGTGGGCCTATTTTACCAGAAGATCATCAATTATATAATATTCTTTTTGTTCGTAAACATATTTCCTGTAATTCGCCAATTGAAACAAATTATTATTTTTGTGAACATGGTGATAGAATTCAGCTTTGTTATTGGTGTAAAACTGAAGATGGTTTATCTGATTTACCTAAATCATTAACTAATCAGTATAAAATAGTTTATACATGTTGTAATATATGTAAAGAATTAGAAAAAGATCATTTTACTTGTTTGGATATTAAAGTTGGGAAAAATAGTAAAAAAAGAAAGAAAAAATCTTAAATCTATAATATATTTTTAAATAAATAACATTTAAACAGTTTTTATATAAAACCATTTTCAAAAATTTTTTTTAAAAAAAAATTTTTAAATTTTACTATATAAACTCTCTGAAGCCCCCTCCCCCCCTCTCTTATAATGAAAATGTAATATAAACCACTGAATTGAATTGGGGTCGCCTAATATACAAATAAATAAAATGCGTTAATTTTATATACAACTCACAAAGTCATAAGGAAATTAATATCTAATAAACTGGTATTACTGTTGTTTGACGAAACTATTTCTGGCAAATGGTGAAAGACGAAACTAGCGAAACTCTGGAGAAACAGCCAACCTTCTTTGCAGCTATTATCATAATTTTTGAACATCTGATAAAAATTGGTCGAATGATTTTCAGCCGATTCAGTTAAGTTTGTGATTTTGGCATAATAGATTCAACAAGAGATTTCAGAATTAACGTGCAGGAATTTATTTTTGACAGAAATAGATAACACAATTATTTTCAAATGAGCGATGTATCAACTTTATTTCTTTTTATAATAAAGTTTAAGTGAGTGTCGCTAAAAGAAAACCCAAAAATT